GTATTATCGATATTGAAGTATTTTAATACTTTTCAATATTAAAATAATTTANAAAAAAAAAAAAATTATTGTGAAATATTTAATTTGAGGAAGTTGATTTATTTGGGATCCTAAGGATTAATAATATCAATGATCAATACATTTTCATTATATTTCATTTAATTAGATGTGAACCATTAAATCATGAAATTACCAATTTAAATGGAAAGGATAAAGACCATCATAATTATTTATATGAACGTAATGGACATAAATCATATATACAACGATATAACATTACTGGATATAAGTCACAAATTTCTAATTCTCCAGCCCTTAATCAAACAATGATTTGTAATGAAGGATTCATTTTTGATCAACATACTTTAAATTGCATTGGTACAAAATCATTAAAATTTTATAAATACTTAATTTATCTTTTTATAAATTATATATTTTAATCTCACTATTTTTCTTTTTCTTTTATATGAATTCAATTAGTATTTGAATTAGTAATTGAATTTAGTATTATTTCATAATAATTCGATTATTTATTATAAAATTTCTCTTTTGACAGATATTGATGAATGTAATAATAATTTAGTAAATTGTAAAATTGATGAAAAATGTATAAATTTCAATGGTGGATATAAATGTTCTCCTATATGTCCATCTGGTTTTCAATATAATGATACTTATTACTCAAGCAGAAACGAACCGTTTTGTCGAGATATAAATGAATGCGCACTTGGATTACATTCTTGTAACGTATCAACTCATTATTGTGTCAATACGAACGGTTCGTATTCCTGTAAAGAATTTGCGACAACGATAAGTTCACCAAGAATTAGCAAACAATTAAATAGTAAAAAAAATAATATAATGCAGGTATTGATCTAGAATACGATAAATATATTACATAATTTTTTTATTAGAAATGTAAATTTTCATATAAAATTTAAATACATTATTTATATTTAAATTTCTAAATTTTATTTCTTTTTATTGTATTTAAATTTTTTAAATAATTTTTCAATAAAAAAATTTGACTATTAAAGTTATTATTCTCAAAACATATGTACATAATTTATAAAATAAATTGAAGAATAATATATTTTGAATTTGCAAAAATACTTGGACATGTTATAAATTTATGTTATTAATTTTAAAAATTGTATACTAATTAATTATTTTGCTCATAATATTCTTTTATAAGAGAAAATCTGAAAAATATAACTTTATACAATCAATATGATAAACATCAGATACTTTATACTATATTTTAATATATTTACTTTTATTATTTTATACAAGATCATATTTATTCTAAAAAATAGATAAGAATAAAATACATATATAAAACATATATAAAACATAACAATAAGTATTATTCTAATATTTGAATACTTTTGGGAGTAACTGCATGTGCAATTTTGTTTTTAGAATACCAATCATTATTTATTCTTGGAGCCATGTAAAAAAGGATATATCAGAGATGTAAAGAGTAGAGAATGCGTGGATATCGATGAGTGTGCATCGATTAGAGCTTGTCAAGAGCATGAAATGTGTCATAATATGCCAGGTGATTTTGAGTGTACACCACTTTGCACTACTGGTTGGTACTTTAATACAGTGACAAAAGGTTGCCAAGATGTCAACGAATGTCTTTTAGGCAGACACGATTGTCCAGAAAATACTCATAAATGCGTTAATACAAATGGTTCCTTTTTTTGCGAATTGGTACCGCCTTGTAGCAACGGTTACAAGCGATCTTTCTTCAATGATAGTTGCGTGGATATCGATGAATGCGAGGAAAACTTGCATTCTTGTCGATTAGAATTGCATCAATATTGTGTTAATAGAAATGGCACTTTCGAATGTTTAACCAGATTACCTTCTTGTTCAATCGGTTATGAATATTCTTTAGCTACTAGAAGATGCGAGGATATTGATGAATGTGTTACTGATCAACATACATGTGATTCTAGACTTTTTGAAAAATGTATCAACTTACCTGGGACTTACAGGTATATATTATTATTAAATATTGTCAAATATAAATATTGAATATTGAAGTTTCGCATTTTATATTACATTATAATTTAAAATTGGCTATTTTTTATATGAAATAAAAATAAAGAGAATAAATAATTATTTCAAATAAAATAAAAAGTAAATTTATTTGAAAAAAATATTTGCAAATAAATTTTGAAATCTTAATTGAAAAATATATTATTTTCAAATAATTTGTTTATCAAATGTATCATTAATTTAAATAATAAATTTTTAATAATTTTATTTATTACATTAATAAAAAATAAAAAATCATAAATAAAATTTTTTGTATACGATAAACATAATGCAAAAGTCAAAAGGTAAAAAAAGAATGATTTTTAAGAATAAAATTTTATGTAGAAAAAATATTTCATTGCAAAAAAAATTTTTATATTTTTAACGAAATTAAAGATAATAAAAGATATTTATATAAATATTAAATAAAACAATTTATCTTTTAAATATTTTAAACATATTTTCTAACACAGTTTAAGATTCTGTTAAATTTTTATTAGATATATATATATATAAAATTGAATATATATTATACCATAATTTTTTCATTTTTATGTAAAAAATATTGTTTGTACATAATTTGGAATTTTTACATAAAATAATAAAAAAAATATAATTAATATATTTTTCTCGTGTTTTATTGTGTTTAGATGTGAAAGACCTGCATCGATTAGACAATATCAACGTCAAAAACCTGCTTGTCCTTCCGGTTATAGATATCATCTTCGACTAAAAAAGTGCACAGGTATATTTTAATATTTTATTATATTAAATTATGTTTGAGAATTATATTCAATTATATCAGTATAATATTTTATACAATTATACAGTGTAATATAATAATTTATATTTATATTTTAATTTGCAGAAATGAAAAATTGATAAAATTACATTAATGAAATTTTGTATTAATTTACAACTTTTTTCAGGATGTAATTAAAAAGTTTTAAGTCAAGCATATAAAACTTAATATTAATTTTGAAAAATGTTTTTAAATAAATATTTTAAAATTGCATGTGTGCACGCTTATTGCATGTGAAGCATTGTTTGTATGTACTTATTTTAAGTTTATTTTCGATAATAAGCATATTTTGTTATTGTCCGTTTTATGTATGCAAATGTTGTATCATATTGCAATACAAATATCTTAATATCATTTAATTTCATTAGAATAAATACATCATAATTACCAATTATATATTTTTGATATGAATTATCGTTAACATTAATAATAAATTTCAACAACAAACATAAGATATATAGTTACTATTGGTTTTTTATTTTTTATTATTATTATCTAATTATTAAATATGTAGATAATTGCTACTTGTATTTTTATTGCAAAATTTATTCTTATTAAATCACCTTTATTATTAAAAGTACATACATATATATTTAAGTAAATATGTATATTATTCATGTAGCCCAAAAATAATAATATAGTATATAATTGTTGATTAATTTTTTATTCACTGATTTTAAAGAATTTGAAATATGTTAGTTAAAAATATCATTTTGAGCAAATTTTTTTTAAATAATAATATATTTCAAGTTCATTAATAACAAAAGAAAATTAATCGACAAGTTGATCTATTTAATTAAAAATAATTATTGTTTGGTAATTATTTAGAAAATTAAAAATCGTGTATTTCTTGTTATCTTATGTATTTAATGATTTATTTTAGTTTATATGATTATGTTCTATAATTTCAAATAAATTATCTATTTCTAAAATAAATAGAGTATTAAACAAATTATGAAATATAAAAAAAATATTTAAATAATACGAAAAATAAAATATCAAAGTGATTTAGGATTCTTAAGTTTTCTTTAAAAAAAAACTTAATTTAATTCATTTTGATTCGTTTTCTTTTTCTTGTATATGTTTACAAGATATAAAAATATAAACATTTTTGGAAAATTTTTTTTAGATAAATTAAAATGAACATAAAAATTTATATGAAAAATATTGATTGCAACTTATTTTTTAAATTAAACAATTTAATATTTGATCTATCTGCAAGATTATATTGTAAAATTGCTTATCTAATCAAGATTTATCAATTAAGAATATATAACTTTATATATACAGATTATATATTAAATTATAATATATCTAACATACAATATACATACATTAATGTATGTTATATTATATTAAAATTTCAATAGAGTTACTTA